TCGTCTTTGATCTTCATCAGTAAGTGCTTCAAGTTCTCTTCATTTTCAGCGAGCGGGGTTGTGTCATCTGCGTAATGCAGGTTGTTAGTGAGTCTTCCTCCAACCCTGATGCCCTGCTCTTCTTCATGTAGTCCAGCTTCTCAGATTATTTGCTCAGCACACAGATTATATAAGCACAGTGAAAGGATACAACCCTGACACACACCTTTCCTGATTTTAAACCACACAGTATCCTCTTGTTCTGTTCCAGTGACTGCCTCTTGACCTATGTACAAATTCCTCATAAGCACAATTAAGTGTTCTGGAATTCCATTCTTTGCAATGTTATCCATAATTTTTTATGATCCACACAGTCAAATGTCTTTGCATAGTCAATAAAACACAGGTAAACATCTTTCTGGAATTCTCTGCTTTCAGCCAGGATCCATCTGACATCAGCAATGATATCCCTCATTCCACATCCCTTCTGAATATTTAAAATTTATGCCTTCTAAAACTTTTAAATATGTAAAATAGATTCATGGACTCTAAGGAAACTTCACTGTTATCAAGAAGGGGAAAATCCTCTCCATGTTATTCCCTCAGTTACTATACGTATTTGATTAAAAAAAAAAAACCTATAGATCAAGTTTTTTCTGTCAAGGTGAAGGCCAAATTTAAAAATTGATGCCTAGTACAAGTTCCTTCTGGGTACAAATAATTTTTTTATTATTCACTATGCTGGAAAAGGGGCATTACCATGAGGGGAAAAAAAAGGCATCCTTTTAAATGAGGAACTGTTTCTTTAATACATTCTCTTCATAGGATTTTATTCTTAGACCATAAAAGCTATTTCTTTCTCTTCAACCTTTTGTTTCTGAAATGTATGTACATATTAGTGAAGCACACCATAAGAATGAGAATAATTTAAATAAATAAGATGAAGCATTCTCCCTTTTTGCTTTTTATTTTTTGCCTTATTTCTTATAAGTGACTTTAGACTGATTTTGGTTTCTATATTTGCTGTCAGTGCTGGTGTGGAAACTATGCCTATGCTTAAACAATTTTCAGTGTTCTCTCAGATTGATTATTAACTTCTGAGTTTAGTTTGAGAGAGTTATTTCAATGTGTTTTCTAATTCATTTATGACAAAAAAAATTTCACTGAGCATATGTCAGTGAAAGTGATTAGTAGGATAAATTAAAGTTACTTTTTTGTCAATGATCCTTATTTTGGACAAAACTGTACTAAAAGAATAAATATGGTTCATGATATTTCTTTTGATGCTGACACTTTATAATTTTGAATTATGCCTGCTTCCCAAAAGGTGAGTTAATTCAAAATAAAACATAAAACTAAGGCAGTTAAAATAAGGAAAAATACAATAATAAAAAATAAATTTAAAAAATAAGAATAAGTAAAGAAGAAAGTAAGAAATAGATATTCCAGAAAGCTAATATGAGATAGTTACTGAAATTAAACACTAAATTTAACTCTGAGTTTTCAAATGGCAGAACATAAAGGGGAAACTCAATCGGTCATATTATTGTCATTGTTAAATAAAAGGCATTATGTTACTTTTTGAAGTAGCAAATTATTAATAGAAATTAATTTATAAGGGGACTTTATCATTTGACTCCTAGTGTGACATAATGAATTTCTGCAAAAGATGCAGAAAAGAACTTCATATATGTTTTCTTATATCAACCATGAGGAAATAGAGCATGTAACATTAGACCAAATCTCAAAAAAAACCTGGACTTTAAGTTGAACCTGACTGAGTCTGTGTCCTCGCTCTACTACTTATTAACTCTAAAACCCTGGACAAGTTATTTTACTTCTCTTAGACTCAGTTTTTCTTCATTTGTTAAAATTGATAATTGTACTTACCTCATAAGGCTGTAAAGATCAAATGATATATTTCATGTAAAGTGCTTAGAAACTAGTAGGTATGTAATAATTGATAGCTTTTAAATCTATTGGTTTTTTTTGTTTTCCAGCTTTGTAAGGAAGGAGCTTAGAGACCCCAGAACAATGAAAAATTAGCTTTTCCCCTAAATTATCCTGGTTTTTTTATTTTTTGGTTAATTCTTTCAACTGGAGCAAGATAGCAGATATTTCAAGATATACTGATTCATATTTAAACCATCTTATTTATAAAATGATACAGAAGAAAGTGGTTTTCTTTTATTAATCTAGGCTATTAATAAACAACATGTTCAAATACCTTTGTATAACAATAATATATTTGAACTTCCTTGTTCTGTTGCTTTCTGACATGTGTAATGTTTAAGGTAATAAGATCTCCTGTCATTTATTCCTGCTCAATTATCTTTGGTCCTTTATAAAAATTATTTCAGAGTATTGAAGTGGATTATAAAGTGAGTTAGTTGTTAAATGATAACCTATTATTGCAAAATTGTTGTTACAGCTGTTGGGTGCTGTCGAGTCAATTCCAACTCATAGCTACCCCATGTGACATAGCAGAACTGCCCCATAGGGTTTCCTAGGCTATCATCTTTACAGAAGCAGATCGGAGTCACTGGGTGGGTTTAAACCGCCAGCCTTTCAGTTAGCAGCTGAGCCCTTGACCATTTCATCACCAGGGCTCCACTGCAAAATTAGGACGCTTGAAAATAAAGTGAGCTCTGTTCTCTCTAATTGTGTTGTGTAGGAAGAATGTCTTAACATGCACACAGTGATGGGTTTTTGTAGTAAAAATTCCACAGCATCTTAGATCTCCTATGAGGACTAGTTGCATTACAAGGTGAACAGTTTGATTAGCGTTTAAGATTAATTTGTGCTTACATTTTAAAATTGAGACTGTAGGATTAGGAAGGGGTTTGCTCTTCTGTGTAACTCATAAAATTCACTAATATTTATTAAAAACAAAGGCATGTTGTTTAATATTCTTTCACAATGTGGGGTTGATTGCTGAATGAATTATTTTTATGAGTGGATTATAGAGCTAATCTAAATTATATTCATTGTATTTATTTTAAAATGTATTTGTGCTTTTAGAGAAATGTAGAACAAAGAACTATGCATAAAATGTTAACTGTATGGTCCAATCAAAAACTTAAAAGTTAAATAATGTCTTTTCCCAAATATATCACAAGTCTTATACTCTTAGGGTAGTCATAATAATAATAAAACTATCATTTCTTGAGTAGCCCTGGTGGCACAATGGTTAAGCACTTGGCTGCTAACCAAAAGGTCGGGAGTTTGAACCCACCAGTGGCTCTGTGGGAGAAAAGATTTGACAGTCTGCTCCCATAAAGAATACAGCCTAGGAAACCCTGTGGGGGACAGTTCTACTCCATCATTTAGGGTAGCTATGAGTCAGAATCGACTCAACAGCATACAACATCATTTCTTGAGTGCCCAGTCTTTGTCAGACACAGTATTAGGTGCAAGTTAATAATACAGCAGTCCTTTAAAGTAGATGATAATATCACCATTTTCAGATGAGGAAACAGAGTCCCAGGAGATTATATAATATACTTAAGGCCATATGGCTAACAAGTAGAGAGCTGGGACCTGAACCCAGATTTGGTTCCCAAGCGTGATACTTTCCACTAGGCTGCGTTGTATCTCTGCACCTCAAAAAAGAAAGCTATGTGCTTTAACAGATTGGGAATTTTCCCACATGTATTATAAATTTACTTGTTATAGAGCATCATAGGCAGTTTTGTGGCAGCTTCTAGCCATTTCACTTTGGTTATAAAACAGTCCAGTTTGTACCTTGTTGGTCATAATAAAATCACACCAAATTTACTCTGAGAATTTTAACCACAGAACCCAGTAGGTGTCTTCTTTTTAGCCCCTTTAGAAAATAATAAGGAATACCTTCTTTTAAATTATATTTTAATTGAATGTGGGAATTGTGTAGACAATGACCAAAAGGACAAACTGCCATTGAATTGGTGGCAAACTCTTTTTTTGTGGACTGCTAGACTGTATAAGCTTTATTTTCCTCCTAAGCATTCTCTGCCTTTGTAAAGCACTCTAGTAGCAATACTTGCTTAGCTTCTAATTTTGGTTTTGCTTTTGTGTTTTCTCTCTTTCTCTTGGTTGTGCCTCTCTTCTTCCCATGGCACTGTGTCTGCTCTTTCCGTGCATCACCTGTGAATCCCCCCTGTGCTGACCAATCAGCTGTTGGTGAAGGGGGTGAATGAGACTCTGGTAGCTCAGAGGGTTGTTCCTGCTCTCATTACTCTCTCCAGTGACCCTGAAATGTAAGTGCCGTACCTGCCTTTTACATTCAGCATCCCTTTCAAAATTTGTCTGTCAAGAAATAACCATCAGCTTTTAAATTCAAAATTCTTAAAAATAGTAATATTGGATTATGCTTCCTGGATTAAAACTAATCACATTGATTTTAAAACCAAACACATTAGTAGTCACGTTTTAAAGTCAAAACTCACAGTAAGCGTAATTTGGAGACCATTATTGAAGGAAAAAAATTGGCATAATATTAGTCCTCAATAAACACTTCCAAAATCTAAAACATGCTGATGGTCTGTTTCTTTCAAGCCAAGAAGGGATGCTCTGCTAATCTCACTAACAGGTTGTACCAGTAAGTGTAGTGGCATGAACCAGAGGCTTAACATTTTAATGTCTCATGTGGGTGACTAAACCAAGAAAGGCCAATGAGTCTGCCTGCCCATCCTCAGTCACAGCTAACCCAGTTCTCATTCCAGTTTACCAAACCATTTTTTATTGCATGTTGACTGGTTTGCAGCTGACTCTTCGAGGCATGAGTGAAGCGTTAGTTGACAAGCGGGTTGCTCCGGCCCTTGTTACCTTGTCCAGTGATCCGGAATTGTGAGTTTCACAGACTGCGACCTTAAGTTATCCTGTCTGTCTTTTTGAGCATTCTTCTTGGTCTGTTTTTTGTTTTTCTGTTTTTTTTTTAATTTTGTCATTGCTAGAGACTAATACAGTATATTTACCTTATACTTACTTTGGTACATATTTTAATAATACTCACTTTTCATCTCAAAGAAAGTTTCAGTTTCTTTATTGTTTTATTCTAACAGCTCTGTCAGGATTGCCACAATTCCAGCCTTTGGCACTATTATGGAAACAGTTATTCAAAGAGAGGTAGGAAATAATTGAAATTTATTTATGTTTATCTACTGTTGAGGCAATGATGACACATTACCATATAAGTACTGGGGGAAAGAGGGGGCAGGCATCATATCTTTCATTTTATTTCTTAGTTATGGGCCAGAGGAGAATCTCAATACTTAAAAACATGATAGCCTAATCAAAGTGTATTTCCATATCCTTGGGAAATCTCTAGTCCTTTTCTTCAAGTAGAAAATCAAGTGTAGGCTAACCCTTAGATGTTCTATTTTAAGCCCAGCTAGACATTGCGGTTCTAATTGATTCTTTAAACTAGATCTAGTTCAAAAGCCCTGTATTCTCCAGGAGATTTTTGGGCAAGTCCACCTAAATTTCTGATGAAATTCAGTCAGTTTTCACAGACTGAAGACACAAAACCTATCTCAGTTTCACAAATGGAATGATAACTGTGTCATTCATGTGAAGCTCCAAAAGTCATCTAGTGAAAGCAGTGTACATCACTGTGAAAAACCCTCTGCTCGTGGCTTCAGGATCACCAGGTTCTTTCTCCTTAAGATCATATTTTGATCCTGAAACTGATGTAATTTCACGTTTGTTAAGTTCTGTCAGCAACATTAACTACAAGACACTTGTCAAAATTAATATAGAATTTCACTGTTTGTTACCAAATCATACTTGTCCTTATACAAATGAAAAATCCTATAAGTTAGAAAATAAATCATTTGTATATACATTACCTAGTCACTTCATCAAAAAAACCAAGTTTTCCATTTAATAATAGACATCTTTCTTTACAAAAAAGGAAAAACTGTTTTATAAATTTCCTTTGTCGTACAGATTTTTTCAATGCAAAAAGTAAAATTAATACAAAAATTAAACAACTTTGTTAGTTATGGAAAGAAATGTTTTCCATTTTTCCACTTAAATATTTTGCTGGTGAAGCAACATAAAAGAGCACAGCATTCTGCAAAGCTTGCTGTCTTAGCAGAATTTCAACATGTTCTTAAATCCTAAAATAAAAATGTCTTTTAGGGAAATGTGAGTAAGATGTAAGTCATTAATGACTCACTGCTTTCAGAAGGTGAATAATCGGGTAACTTACATTGTGCCTTAAGAATTATATTTTAGTTACAAAATCATCATAAACTTCTCTCCTTTTCCCTAAATATTGTGAAACTTCTTTTGTTTTTACAATTTGTCAGAGAATATTTATATTTTCTAAGCCCCCCTCAAAAAAAAATTACAAGCATACGCAAAGATTTAAAAGCTTTTCTGAGCCAGAAGACTAAATAATTATTTAATTCCAAATTTCTAATATCATGTTGATATAAATTGTTTCAATCCTCTACTGCAAGCCATGTTTAACAACTGTACTCATTCTTAATATTTTATAAAATGACTGTATATTATCCAATTTTAAGTTGCTGGAAAGAGTGAAAATGCAGCTGGCTTCTTTCCTGGAAGATCCTCAGTATCAAGACCAGCATTCTTTGCATTCAGAGATCATAAAAACATTTGGTAGAGTTGGGCCTAATGCCGAACCCAGATTCCGAGATGAGTGTAAGTTGCATTTTTCTTTCTTTTTTTCCTGAGTTGTAAGATCCAAGCGAGAAGCTTCTCTGAGTATTTGTCAAATGTTAAAGCCTTGCTGCACTTTATCTTTTGTATGCTGAAAGTGAAACAAGTTGGTTATTGGGAATTGATCAATATTATCAGTCGGTGAATAATATGGTTTCTTATACTATATACGGAGCCCCGGTGGTGCAGTGGTTAAGCGTTTGGCTGCTAACCAAAAGGTCGGCAGTTTAAATCCATCAGCTGCTCTTTGGAAACCCTATGGGGCAGTTCTACTCTGTTTTATAGGGTCACTATGAGTTGGAACTGACTCGATGGCAATAGGTTTGGTTTTTTGGTTTATACTATATACTGAACAAACGAACAAATCTGTCTTGGAAGAAGTACAGCCAGAATTCTCCTTAGAAGCAAGGATGGCAAGACTACATTTCACATACTTTGGACACGTTATCAGGGGGGACCAGTCCCTGGAGAAGGACATCATGCTTGGCAAAATAGAGGGTCAGCGAAAAAGAGGAAGACCCTCAACGAGTTGGATTTACACAGTAGCTGCAACAATGAACTCAAGCATAACAACGATTTTGAGGATGGCACAGGACCAGGCAGTGGTTCGTTCTGTTGTACATAGGCTCGCTATGAGTTGGAACCAACTCGATGGCACCTAACAACAACAGCAAAATATACTGATTGTTGTAAGACATAATGAAAAGAAACTTACAAACACAATTTCAAGTCATTTTTGAAAACATTTCTTAATATCTATTAATTTGCAAAAAACTGTTCTGCCTTATATTTAGATTCTATTTAATTCTTTTTTAAAAGAAATTTTTATGTTTCTAGACATGTTCTTATAAAAAAAATATGCATTTTTCCCACTTAGCATGCCATTTAGCTTTGGTACATCACTTTATATTTTAATTCACAGCTTGTTGAGCTACCAAATGATCTGTGTGGTAATCTTCTAAAATATTTTCTCTAATTTCTATAGTATTTCTTTTGGAGCCCTCGTGGTGCAGTGTTTATTGAACTTATATTGAACTACAGAAACACAATCATGAGATTCTTTTTCACTGGGTAGGGGGTGTTGGTAAAATGAAAAGGAGAAAATAACAATATTTGTAATTAGTTAGCCAACCAAGAGAAAAATGTTTGGTGTTTTTTAGCAACAGGGATGATGCCA